TGTCCACCTGTCTCTGTATCAGAGTATCTGTCTGTCCACCTGTCTCTAGTGGTCAGCAGCAGTAATATTGATATTTGTGTTGCAGTGTTGTCAGGACGCCAGCAGGGGGAGCTGTTCTCGCTGGTAAAGGCTTTTATTTATTTTCTTTGTTCTTTCAAATCGGTTCTTTTTGTTCCATTTTTTGTTGCATCAACTGAAACTGAAGTTTTACTGTGTGAAAACTACAAATTTGTTATAAACTGAAAGAATAACAGCAACCTTTCAGAACCACAAGGTTCTCAACAATCTAAGATCAGTCAACATGTTCTCAAACTGGGCCCAAGACCTGATTAAAATTATATTCCTTAAAGAGAAAAATCAGTTTCAACAGGAAGGAAAACTATAAAAGGTTATATAAAAAAAATCAATAAAAAAATAAAAATTTAAAAAAAGAGAGAACAACTCAGCTTAAAAGAGAAAACCTTTATTAGAGCCTTTTTACAAGAAACAAACAAACAAAAAACAGGAAGTTGTGATTTACATCCGACAGGTGTCGTGGAACGCCTCCAGTGTCCGAAAGTCCCTCCATGTTGGAGGAAGTCCGTCCTGCAGGAAACGACCGCAGCGCTGACAGGGAGACTGGAAGAGTTTAATGTAGCTGCGCAGCCACGTCTGCGGGGGACAGTTGAGACAGAGACAGGTAAGACTGAAAAGAACTCTGAGCAAACAGGAAGACAGAGTTTAATACAGATGCGTCTTTAGGGGGACAGGTGAGACAAGGGCAGACAGGTGATGAGGTCATAGATTAGTTCCAGACTGTTGTCTTACCATAAAAGAGCGAACTACTACGTCGGGCATCTGGGGCAGCTGGTAGTGCAGCAGAGCGGTGGTGGCATGGTCTGTTACCTAGCAACAAACAACCAATCACAGTGCTACATATTATTTTTACTCACTCATAACAGATGAGTACTTGTGACTGGAAAAAGTGAAAAGCACCTTTTGAAACACCTGGTACTGAGACTTGGTCCAAATATCCAGCTAGAGAGGACAGAAAGAAAGGTTATTATAGAATGCTCCATCAGATTTCAATGGTTACCTGTCAACAGGTGAAATACAACATCACCTTTCCATCCTCGGTGTAAACATGCTCGTTAAAACCTCGGACGATGGTTCTATCAATGAAAAGGGAACGCATCACAACTATGGCCTTTAACACCTTCCCTAGGGTCACCTGAGGAGAAAAACACCTGTTACCTGCTGTGAACACACACCTGTGTGACAAATGATTTCCTATCATACCAGTAGCACAGCTGATGTCCCGTTGGGTCTGAACAGCTCAATGGTCATATCAGGAAACAATCTGCCGATCCGGGTAATGACATCATCTACATACCTGCGTACAGATACAAAGTGTTACTGCAACAGGTGTAAATACAGTGATGGTGACTGGAGCACCAGCGGCAAGTGTTGTAACAGGTTGGTCGATGTACTGTGGATCTTACTGAATGGGGAGGACCAGAGTACTGGGCTGGACTTTGGGTCGTCTCTTGGCTGAAGCTCCCATCTGATTGGCTGACCGCTTGAGTGACTGCTGGTTTAACAAACTGGAGGCCAAACCAGCATGATACTGCAGCTGCTCACGCAAACAAAACAAAACAACAAACAGACAGGAAGACATAAAGACAAACAGATCAGCTCAGGTGTGACAGACCAAGGTTCTGATGTAACTGTATCAGGTGGACTGTGTGGATGGTGTGACAGCATGTTGCTATGGTAACAGCATCAGGTGTAACGTGTGGAAGTGTGTTGCCATGTAACAGCATCAGATGGACCGTGAGTGTGTGTTGTCATGATGCAGGTTAGCCCGAGACTGTGTGTTGTTATGGTAACAGCATCAGGCACAGTGTGTGAGAGTGTGTTTCCATGGTAACAGCATCAGGTAGAGCGTGTGATAGAGTGTTGCCATGCTAACAGCTTTAGGTGAACAGTATGACAGCAAGTTATCATAGTAACAGCATCAGATGGACTGTGTGTGTGTTGGCATGATAACCGCAGCAGGACTGTGAAACAGTGTGTTGTCAAGTTACCAGCAACAATTGGAGTGTGAGATAGTTTGTTCCCATGGTAACCGCATCAGGTGTAACGTGTGGGAGTGTGTTCAATTCATTTCAATTTAATTATATAGTGCCAAGTCACAACATGTAACAGCAAGAGAGGAACTGTGAATGTGTGTTGTCATGGTAACCGCATCAGGTGGACTGTGAGACAGTGTTGCTATGGTAACAGCATCAGATGGACTGTGTGAGTGTGTGTTTCCATGGTAACAGCATCAGGTGGAGCATTTGAGAGAGTGTTACCATGCTAAAAGCTTTAGGTGAACTGTGTGACAACAAGTTGGCATGGTAACTGCATCAGGTGGGCTGTGAGACAGTGTTGTTATAGTAACAGCATCAGATGGCCTGTGTGACTGTGTGTTTCCATGGTAACAGCATCAGGTGGAACATCTGAGAGAGTGTTACCATGCTAACAGCTTTAGGTGTACGGTGTGACAACAAGTTGGCATGGTAACAGCATCAGATGGAATGTGTGAATGTGTTGTCATGGTAACAGCATCAGGTGGACTGTGAGACAGTGTGTTGCTATGGTAACAGAATCAGGTGAAGTGTGTTTCCATGGTAACAGCATCAGGTGGAGTGTGTGACAGCTTCTCACCTTGTTGGACCATTTGTAGGCCTGCAGCAGCTGCGAGTACAGAGGGGTTTTATCTTGGACTGGGTCCAGACTCAACAGACCACTGTTATGCAGAGGATGGGACTCTGAGGGACGACCCACTAGACTACTGAGACGCTCCAACTCACTAAGAGGAGAAAGGTGGGTGGAGACAGACAGGTGAAGACAGACAGGTTATAGTTTAGCAATTGCAACCAAACTTCGGTCTGGGCTCATTTTCTGTGTTAATGATGTTAATAATGTCGGAACGTTTCTGGTAGTTTTGGCTTGTCCTGTCCAGATGGACCACTGTCCCACAGCTTTACAGATTATCTGTTACAGAGCCCAGCAAAGAGAGGCTGTAGTAATCTGGACCTTCAGTTTAAGAAAATGTATGTGTAGATTTGTATTCTTTTTATTTAATTCATTTGTGTTTATGGCTTTTCGCAAAGACTTCACTGTGTTTGACAGCGGTATCAGATCATTGTTTGCTTCTTTGGTAATAAAAAGAATTGACAAATTCATACCAAACCACTGAAAAACTACAAACATCACACCTCTCAACTGCTGAATATCATGCAACACACTGTAGAGCCCGATCATATCTAGACATCAGACATGGTTAAACACTGATTATCTGGGAACTATTAATACACAAGAATAACAATTCTCCAGAATTATACACGCGTGCATGTTTCTCATTATTATGTCGGTGAAGGAGTAGAAGTAGGAAGCTTCCTTGGGCCTTAGAGCAGCTTCATAAACTATAAACGTTAAGATGTATTTTTCCCAAACTAAAAGCTAAAGACTACACGGGGGGACCTACTTCAGGTCTCTGTTGACCGCCAGCAGGTTGTCCTGGAACTCGGATATAAACTGCTTCTCTCGACTTTCCAGAGTCTCCCGGTTCTTCATGCCATCCTTCAGGGACTCGAACACCCGGCTCACGCTGGAGCGCAGCGCCTGGATCCCGCTGATGGCGTGAGAGAAGGCATCCAGATTCACCCCGACCGTCACAACATCCGCCATCTTCTCTGCGCCTGGCTGATGACGTCACTGCTCCGCGACACTGAAGAAACAAAGGGGCGGAATGTCGCAGGAAGCGCATGTGCTTTTAAATTGCAATATAACCCTTAAATAGTTAGAAACGAAACGCATTTTAATCCTACTGGTTTCATTATTGTCCATAATATTATTTAAAATGTTTTAAATGTCCATCATCTCTTTACATGTCTTCTCATTCTGTAGTATAAATTGCTGCAGATTCTCAGCTGTCAGGACATGGCAAATCCAATAAATCTTTAAATAAGACTGGAGTTGACAGGAAACCGTTTCTTTCCTCATCCCGGGAGCTATTTGTGTTCACAACTGGAGCCCCCACCAGATCCACTCTCTCCAACTATGAAGTAAAAAAAGAAAATGCACTTTGGACGGATGAAACATCTTTCTACAGAATTAAAGTCCAGATGTTTTGGTGCTTGTTTTATTTTTGATTATACAGCAAACTTTCTGCATACCATTAAACATGTAGTCGTGCCCATTTGGATGTTTATCATTTTCAAAGTACAGTTTAAATGTATATGACTAATTCTCATTTTATTCCAAACCACTTCCATTCACCTGGTTAGAACCATAAATATCTTCTTTGCTCACTAAAGAAATTAGGTGTCTTCTTCTTTGATATACCTTTTCCACTTATTTACTTCCAAATTAAACTTCAGCTTTATTCCAGTATTGAGCCGTGACTGTTAGAGTGGAACCTTGCGTAAATGCAATCTGCTCTTCTATAATGAATTGTCTCTGTGATGCATTCAAGACACGATATTTCAATAATTCACACGGAAATATTTTTAATAACCCACATAACTTACTGTTTCTGTAAAATTTCATGACGTAATAAAAACATATTACAACTGTTATATTAAAAATGATCAACTAAACAGGACATTTAATCTTTTTATTTCCAGACCAACCATTTCAGTGTATATTTTTGTATTTACAGGTTGTACTTTAATGCACTATCTGAAGTGGAGAAAAATCAAACAATATCATAGAAGAGCAGTTATATTTCCAGCACAAGTCTTTTGAGAATCCTTAGTGACCTAAAATAGGAACATCTTATTCTAATGTGAAGTCAAACAGTAACAGTAACTCCACCACCTGAAGACTTCATTCTTAAACCGTGGGTGGAAACATCAGGTTTCAACTGTATACATTTTTCACTTCCTTCAGTTCAAGAGACCACAAACATGACAAGGAAATCATTGTCAGGCTAATATTATACTAGTTTCACAGTTTACTCTTATATTTCCGTCCTTAAAATTTTCAAGTCACCAATAAAAATATTTCTCATAGAGGCTGAAAACTGATTCAAACCAAGACATGATTTGAGTAAAAGTAGAGGTTTTTTTTTACTGAACAAGTCCAGAATAATGGATGGATGGAAGGATGGATGGACATATTAAGGGGCAAAGAAAGCTCTATTCTCTTCTGTTTTGTTCTATCATATTATATTACCGTATATTCAGGTCCTGATTTTGAAGAGGATTCATTGGCAGGAACCTGAACACATCGTATAAGTCGTAAGATAAAAAGAATAGTGTTTGAATATGTTTGTTGCTGTATACAGAGTTTTAAAATAAGACAGTAGTATTATTTTTAGTTTCTAAACTTGACATATGAATAAGCACCTTATTAATAATAATGATCAGTTGTCAAGTCGGAGGATGGGAGGACTCAGATTAAAGAGTCAGTTGAGTTCCAGTCATCAGGGTGCTCAAAGCTCTGAGAGGAGGAGGAGCTGGAGAAGGAGGAGTAAATGGATTAATGTGATGAACTGAGAGAGGAGAGCCAAGAAAGAGAAGGATTAACAGGAGAAGGAAGACAAGAAGAAAAAACAAAAGAGCTCCTGCAGGGGGAAGAATTTTAGTTCATTTTACCAAGAGTTCACCTGAAGACCCTCAGAGGTGAGTGACAGAGAGACAGACAGAAAGTGGACCAGATAGAGTTAGAAGGTTTTTATACATCCAGGTGACATCTTCATGATATTTTCTCCCTTGTGTTGTTGTGGTGAAGCACACTGTCAAGTCAGTCAGGGAATGATATTGCTCCTAAACCAGAACCAGTTCTGAATCTGTTGTGTTTCTTATAGCGGCTTCCCAATGGAAACATTACAGTGGAGATGTTACATTTGAGTGGATATCAAAACTAGAGTGAAAGTTGTAACATGGTGGTGTACAGTTGTGTTACAGTGGAAGCACAGTGCTGTACTGGAAGTGTTAGAGTTGCAAAGACGATGGTAAAGATTAAGTGCCATAGTGAAGATGGTACAACAGTTTTGCAGTAGCACCACAATAAAGGCATTGAAGTAACAGCAATAAGGTGAAAATGTACAGTGTCCTTAATGTGAACACATTATACACCATTACGCTGGTGTTCGAATTGATGCATTGCAGTGGAAATACGGTGGCCTTTCAGTTAAGGTATCACAAGTTACAGTGAGAGTGTTACAGCCATTACGATAGAAGCAGTAAAGTGGAAACATTAAAGTAGTAGAATGTGTTTTTGGTGTTAAAGTCTTTCCAGTTATGTTGCATTCCAATTCAAAAAGTTATAGTGCATCGGAGGTGTTACAGTGGCACATTAAGTTTTGTGCTTCAGTGGAAGCATTACAGTGGCACCTTCATAATGGTAGTCATACAGTGGCGGCATTGCAATTGCATGTTTAGTATGGCAATGTCACAGTAACACCATGGCTGCTGTATTGTTAAATTGACTGTTGCAGTGGTGCTGTTGCGCTGGTTTTACAGTTCAGTGGTGTTACATTACAGTGGAGATGTTAAAGTGGACCACAAAAGTGAAGTTGAGACATTACAAAGGAGGCTTTACTCTGCTCTCATTGTGGCACTTATACACCAGTATAATGCTGGAGACATTGCAGTTACACTTTTATTGTGACCTGAGACAGCGAAGGCACTACAGTGACACTGTTACTCTGGAGCTACAGGGTTATTACAGGGACACCTTTAGTGCGTCAGTTCAGTTAGACTTTGGTTGGGTACTTTTGTTTTTGCTGCAGTGTTACAAAGAGGAGTTACAGTGAAGCTGTTGGCATTGCAAAAGGGGCATGATGGGAACACCCTTTCAGTATTATCATTAGTGTGTGTTTTTTATTTATTTATTTATTTATTTTATTATTTTTACTCCCATTGATGTTATTGTTAAACACTTTGATAACAGTTTCTGTTCAAAATGTGCTCTGTAAATAAAGTTTGACCCTTAATGTGGAAGAGTTGCAGTGTGGGGATAAAGTGTCTTTAAAACTCTTGACATTATAGCAACACATTTGCTGTGGCAGTGTTACAATGTAGGTTAATCTGATGTTGCTTTGATGCCAAAGTGGAGTCAATGAGACAGCACCTTCATAGAGGCAGTGTTCCAGTGGAGGTATCACAGTGAAGATGTTAGATGTTAGTCTAGTGCTAGAGTGGAGGTGTCACTGTGGCACCTTCACAGTGGCAGTCTTATTGTGGAAATTTGACAGGGGCAGTCATGGTCACAGTGTAAAAATGGCAAAGAACTGTCAGTGAAGCATCTCAACTGAAATTTGATTCTGTTTTGTCGTTTTGTTTCAGGACCAGTATGGGCAGGACATCCTATTGTTGACTGGGAGTTTTATGCTCACCTGGCTGTCATGATAACTTCACAGTGAACACCTTTTTTTGGTTGAAGCATTAGTGGAGGAGCTGGGCTTGTAGAGAGAAAAATGATGATTTCGATGAACTTCCTGTCTGACTGACTGCGCAATGGCCTCTTTTAATTGGCCCCCATATTGGTCCATTCAGTTTTTTGTTCTCCTCACATTCTTGCTGCCATGGTGCTGGACTCAGATCAGCAATCAGTTTGAAATGTGCCGCTCCCGACGCAATTCAGAGGTGGGGCCAGAATGGAAGTTCTCCGCCTGTCAGCCCCCCGCAACCAACATGAAGGAGTTCATGCAGATCAGAGTTGACCCGCCTGGGATCACATGTGGAAACCCACCTGAAAGATTCTGCACACTGGTCAGTCTGATACACAATTCTGTACTAATAGCCAAAGATACACCTGAATGCAGTTGAAAATAGAATTGAACCTAAATGCTTTCATACACTGTATTAAAACACAGGAACTTTTTCCTCACTATATGAACATGGATAAAACTGAACCTGTTTTCTTTTAAGTTAAGTTTCTCAAAATAGTTTCTTCCTAAACAAATTATGTTCTTAATTTATTAGTTCCTCAAAGTACTCCTCCCAACTTCCCATCCCACATTACCATTTTTATATTTACCAAGCCTAGCCTGCTGCAGATCCTTTCTAGGCTGATCCCTCTGTCTCACCAGTCAATACAAGTCCTTCTATCTCACTTAAGTGTCCAGTCTCTTGTTAAAAACTTCATGCACCTTCTGTTTGGCCTTTTCTACCTCCCTCTTTGCTCTACATTGCATCTCCGTTTATTCCTGTCTACAAAAGCTTAAACCCTACCATGATGCTGTAAGCCTTGCTGCCCCTCCACTTGGTCGTTTGCACACATAATATTCTGTATCTACCTTCCTTCTCTGCATCATGTCAGCTAGCTGGCTTGTGTTACCTAGTGGTTGCTTTAAATAATGACCCAAGCAAACTGCCAAATTAGTTAGAAAATGGCTCAAGGACATCAAAGTCAATGTTTTGTAATGCCCCAAACACCAAAAGCCAAATAATATTTATGGGTCGAGCTTCAAAAGTGTGTGAACAAGGTGGCCTACAAACCTGATTGTGTTCCACTAGTTCTGGCATCAGGAATGGGACAAAATTTACAGCAAACCATTGTGTGAAGCTTGTGGAAGGAAACCCAAACTGACCCCAACTTTGATTTAATATCAGACAGTGGGAAAAAACGTTTGTGTCTTTTCTTTTGGCAGATAGAAACATCTGCTTTCAGTTGTATATATCTTTCACGGCAGCTTTCAGGAGCTTGGGGCCTTGTGTCCACGCTACAAAAAAGTACATATACATCTCTCTCTAACCCCCCTATAGTGCCATTATTACTATGGAGGCAAAGAAGAGATCAAAGTGTTGACACAGAAAAGCACAGGATATGTAAGGTGAGAAGTAGGTCTTATTTTCAATCTTAGACAAAATGATAAAGATTGTCCATATTTAATTTTAAAACAAATGCACTGAATATTTCAAAATTTATAATTAAAGTCCTGGAAAACAATCTTATGAGAACAAAGTTTGAATGTATTTGCCTTGAGCAACAACAAGAACAAAGTCAAACAGTTGAAGGATGAGCTGTGACGTCCTGCAGAGGTGGTTGGACCCGGTTTGGACGGCTCTGAACCCTCACGGAGCGCTGCCGTGTCACGCTGTCTGTCTAATTGTTCCGTGGGGAAAGTAAAGTTGTGTCTGAATTATTGATAAATGCAAAAGATAACAACACAAACCCAAATGTTAATAATTAATTGGACATGGCATTTAAAATGGGACAGTTGACACAGCAGGAGAAAACTCACAACAACCATTTAAACAAAACTCACAGAATAATAACAGGTGGAAAACATTTAACAGACAGCTACAACTGTCCAATCTAAAAATGAAAGCAATAAAAACTATAAAACTTGTGCACATGGTGAAAGATACACAGCGATCACCCGTACCTCTCTGGGTACTGATGATCTGTGAGGAGCGAGCATGTCTCAGAACAACAACACTAATTAGCTGATGAAGGAAGGGGTTAAATACTTCAATCAGTGTTGGAGTTCTTAGTTAATTGACTTTTGCAGCTGCAGTGTGACAGTTGGCTGCAGCACTTTAAGTTTGGAGGTAAACCTCTTACTCACCGAGCAGATTAGTGTCAGCGTTAATCTGTCTGAACGTCCAGAAGGTAAATAATGATTTCACGCTCGGCTCGTTGGGTACGTTTGCTCACTTACAAAAGAATCACCAGTTTTTATTTTAATGGCGGTTTATACGTAATGGAAAATAATATTAGTTAAAAATAAAAAAATATAAAAACATTGAATCAAACTAATTTATTTATACAATAAAAATAATAATAAACTGCCTTTAGAAAAAGTGCTGTGCACAAAAAAAAAGGTAAAATAAAATAAAAAAAGCAATTAAAAACAAAAGACATTTAAATGAAGAAAAACTGCTGATTCTCATGCTGCATCAACACATTGAATAGGAACGTGGACCAGCCTGGACCTCAGAACAACTAAAGACCCGATCACCTCTGTTGACCAGCCTGGACCTCAGAACAACTAAAGACCTGATCATCTCTGTGGACCAGCCTGGGCCTCAGGACAACTAAAAACCTG